ATATGAGACCCCAAGGAAAGTAAGGAGGTCCTATAGTGGGCCTGTTCTTAATGATATTTAATATTTGAATGCATATTTTCATTAATTTTACCATCAATCTACTCAGTAAATCTTTAATATTGAGTTTCTTTTGAGAATTTCTCTGTCCAACATACTCTAATTTCACCACATTTTGGCATCATAGGAATTTATTTATTCTGCTTAGGACTTATTTGAAGCTGTTTATCTTTCTCAGTTCTAAGAAATTCCTGGAGCCTTTGGGTCTCCAAACATCACTTGCCCCCATCACTGTTGTCAGGAATTCCAGACAGAACTATGTTGGGTTTTGTATTCTGTCTTTCAAGTCTCATTTGTAGATAGTCATGTTTTCCTACCATTTATTTTGTTATATTTCAAGAGGTTTCTTTCAATGAATGGCCTGAGTCTCCCTCTTTTAAGTCATCCATTCCATTGCTTATTGTTTTTATAAAGTTCTACTTGTCCCCCCTTTTTTGTGCATCCACCCATCTTTTCATATCTGCCCTATTCTTTTGCCACAATGTTCTTGGTTAGTATGTCCTGCCTTTCAATTATTTATACATCCTTTGGAGACTGACTTCCAATGCCTGACCTCACTCTGACCTCCAATCCCGGAAGTTGTACCTCCTCTTCATTCCTTTTCATTGTTGGGTTATTTTTTTTAGCAGGAAAGGCTTGTCTGGGCAGTGGTGGTTCAGACTGAGAATCCTCCATGCCCTGACTAAAGAAATTTACCTCCATGGTGGCTCTGAATTTCCTCCTCGTGTGGACTTAAAACCACGGGTGGGGGAGGGAGTTCTTCTGTGAGTCAGGTAGTCAGGGTGGGGGGTAGGGGTGGAAATGAGAAAATTTAGAATCAGTAAATACTTGACCCACATCTCTCTTCCCAGGTCACTGGCCTCAGTTGATACTGTTTCTTTACAGGGTTTCTGCACACTTCTGACATGGGGATGGGAATTCTAATAGTTAAAGTGTGAAATTCCAGCTCAAGTACATCATCTGTTAGGTAACACACTGGTTTGTATTTGACGGGGTGGGGGTAGTATGTGCGTGAGCTAGACTCTATCTCTTCTTAGGTAACACACTGGTTTGTACAGTCAATTGATAAGGGCAGGCATAGTATGTGTGTGATCTAGACTCTATCTCTTAGGTAACACCCTGGTTTGTATAGTCGATTGACAAGGGCAGGGGTAGTGTGTGCGTGATCTAGACTCTACCTCTTCATGACCATTTTAGAGGAAGAATCTTCCTCCAAAACTACCTTTCCTCCTTCCCCTTCTCTGGCCTCTCATACCTAACAAATACGCCCATGTGTCTTTAAAAACCATACTCCGGCCTCCCCGATTCAGAACCCTCCCACCACTCACTTCAACCTCCACTAAGAAGTCCACTTCATTGCTGGCACTCTGAGTCATTCATTTTTCCAACTTTACCTCCCAACTCCAATCCATTCCAACAGAACTGCTCTCTTCCTCCCCCAACCCCTCACTGTCCCGTCTGTCAGCTTTGGTAGCATTGACTCATAACCCTTGACCGTGCCATTTGTATTGAGTTGTAGTTGAGCTACCTGAGTACATTCCTCATACAGTCCCTTTGAGTCTCCAAGTCCTTGGAGGACAGAAGCTGTACACGACTCATCTGTTTCCCTGGTATCAGGCAGAAGATGTGTATGTGACTCTGATGGGCTGAAATGAATCAAAGTGTTCCCAGGACTCCTGGTGAGGGTGTTAAGCCAGGCAAGTGGCTCCTGAACTGTACAGGTGGATTCAGCGGATTGTTTCGGGGACCTGCTGACTTTGGAACAATTGTTTTAGGGCACATAGAAAGAGCTCAACAATGGCAGTGAGCCCATCAACAGGAGAGTGCGGCATCCCAATGTCACCATTTGGCCTATTTTTGGGCCCAAAGCTAACACTCAAGCCCCATGTAATGACTGGATAGTCCACATTCCTGGCACAGTCCTGCACATCCATCGGTAGACCCTGCAGGAAGCAGATCTACATGACATACATCTGCTGTTTAAAGGTGTCCATGAAATCAGCAGGGTGGCAAAGCAGACCCCAGGATGGGCAACATGCAGTGTGTTCTAGAGCCAACTTTCTCTAATTCTTACCGCACACATTCTTTCATAGCCCAAGGAAAATGTGTATTATTTAAACCACTTTTATTTTCAAGCAAGATTAGAAGAAAAAATTGAATGATAAATTTCTCCAGTGGCTCTAAAATTAGGCAAACAATTGGGACCTCAACTGAACTGTTGGGAAACCATGTGTGTCCGCAGGGGCCTGGTTCAGTTGTCCTGAGCATCACACAGTGCCTGGCATGTATGTATGAACTCTCATGTAAGTGAAGGAACGAGTGAATTAATGAATACATCTTTTTATCTCAACAGACTACAACAGCAGTGAATTAAAAACAGCCTGCAAAAAGCATGAGCTGTATGTGAGCTTCCAGGACCTGGGATGGCAGGTGAGTCCTCAAAATAAGGATGGGCCTCAATGGGTACCTCACCTATGGCTGCAGCCATCAGCCTCTGGGATGAGTTGATTCTGGAATCCAAGAAGCTCTCAAATGCTTAGGCTGCTGGAGTATGGCACCAGGCAGGCTGGTGTACTAAGCACCTCACCCCCTTTGTGGGCTTCCCTCTTTCCACATTCTTTCAAAGCTCCAGGGGTATGTATTTATTTGGACATTTAAGCAGTTTTTACTGTTAAATCAGATTTGAACGTACCTTTTTACTTTTAAATCATCAGATTATAGAAAATATGATGATTAATTTCTTCAGTAGCTCTTCATTGGTTTACCCAATGGAAGAACATGCTTGGCTCATATCAAGTACAGCTAAATGTGATGAAATGGGAGATAATAGTTGCTTTGTACTTAAGTGGCATTACTTTGACAGGCGCAATGTGATCCCTTTGGGTCTAAGTAGACATGGCAGATCCTGACCTACAGTATTTTGACCATTTTTCAGCTGTATGATAATGTAGGAGCAGTATGTGTTTCACTAGATATAGTGCTGAGTTTTGAAGTTGAGTCTTTCTGGGCTGGAGTCCCCCCCCCCATCACTGGACATGATGAGTGGTGACAGCAGGCTGCAGGTCCCAGTTAGCCCCCATGGTGCACTGTGCTAAATTAGGATGTTCAGTATTTTAGGTGTATTATGGGCATTTTTCAGCTAATATTTTATTGAGATGTAACCTAATCCTACACCAAGGAGCATTTGTACATCAATCTCAATTCCAGTCCTAGTGGGTTTGTTACCAGCTAAGATATATGAGTCCATGGAAAGACTGAAGGCTCTAGGATCAGACCAATCAGGTTCATATCTTAGCTTCGCTTGAATGTGAACTTGGGTAATTTCCAAACCTCCCTCATGTCCCACACTGTGCACCATGATAAATGCCTTCTCTTGGGGCCACCGAGAGTGCAGATGACATAGGGTACCTGGTGTTCTTTCACTGCCTACTTTTGCTTTATCGAAAGGACTGGATCATTGCACCCAAAGGCTATGCTGCCAACTACTGTGATGGAGAGTGTTCCTTCCCACTCAATGCACACATGAATGCCACAAACCACGCCATTGTACAGACCTTGGTGAGTGCCCTGACTTGGCTCTATGTGGGATCAGGCCCAGACCAGGTATCACTTCTAACAGTCCCTCTCCCATTTCTACTTTGGAACAGGTTCACCTTATGAATCCTGAGTACGTTCCCAAACCATGCTGTGCTCCAACTAAGCTGAATGCCATCTCAGTTCTTTACTTTGATGATAACTCCAACGTCATCTTGAAAAAATACAGGAATATGGTTGTGAGAGCTTGTGGATGCCATTAAGTCGAAGCCAGTTGGGGAAGGGACTCTGCCTTGGATTCCTAACTAAATCTGCCTTAAAACCCATGAAGAAGCACAGTGAAGGGGATGATGGCCCTCTGGAAGCATCTCCTGCTGGTGCCTTAGCCCAAGGGGGATTTGATGAGGACCTTGCCGATGACTTCCCAGTTCACAACCGAGCAGTTGCTCATCTGTCGGGAGTTGTAATGCTTTCAGAACAGGCCTGGGAACCGCAGACACATGCCTGCGCTCACTTCCCCCAGTCCCACCCAGATTAGCTTAGCATTTAGATCTGTTTGTGGAGTAAGTAGAGAATACCCTTGAATACTAAATATCCCTGGCTGACTGAGCAGCTGGGTCCAGTAGCACCTATCACTGGGAGATTTTACAGGTAACAATGGAGGGGAAGGGAGAGCTCTGTGAGATTGCGTTCCCAGCAAGGCCAGCTCACCTAAGACCTGCACCCTGGCCATCGGTGCACTTCGTGGAGGTGCCTTTTGTCTGCTGTTGCAGTTACATGGTTTTCGTTGACTCTTGGTGTGAACATGTACTAATTTCGGTCAAACCAAACTAGCATTTCTACACCTCCCTCCTCGCTCAGTTCCTGAATTCTTTAGCAGAACCCAAAGTAGATGAACCATGCTCTGAGGTAGGGCCATGAAGCATCTGCACTAGCATTCATCTGAGCCACATAACGGCAGAAAGTGACTCTGCACCTCTTAGGCAGACTGACTCGACAAGCTCGTTAACATCAGGAACACTGGCTCCAACACACCAGCTCTCTAACTGTTCTTTGCCTTCCCCTACAGCAGCATTCCATGGCTCAGGGCTAGTCTACAGCAGGAACCCATAGAGGAAGGGCCCCTGGCCTGTAAGAATGGGTCTGTCGAGGTGAGCGTGCTGTTTGTGAACCAAAACCAATGATTTCCTCTTGCAGAAAGTAAGCCTCAGATTAAATCATAGAGTATTTTTTAGATATCCTTTTCACAATCATGTATTGGGAAGCCAATTTCATACTAAACTGATTAAATAATACATTTACAATCTGTAACTGTACTTACAGCTTTTTTTGTAAATAGAAACTATAATTTATTGTCTATTTTATATCCATTTTGTTGTAACATTTAAGCAAAGACCAGACTTTTTTTCTTTAAAAAAAATTTATTAGAAAGTATAAACCAATTGTACCATTTGAGTTTTCTTTTAATACAAGACTCATGATGCAAAGCTGAAGCCACTGTGAGCTGGGCCTCTAGAGCTGGGTTTCAAGGACAGCTGTGAACCACACATGATTAATAATAAATGTCCGCAACGGGCTGGCAGGGAGCCTCTGCTGCTCAGGAAGTAGGCGTGGTCTTGTTTCTAGTCTCCTTACCATACATTCTGCGCCCGGGTGTTGAGTTAACCTGCTCATGGAAGGTAGGTGAAGGGTCGGGGCACTAAGTGCTTCTGAGGACAAGCAACTCATTGGCGAAAGACAGAGAGGCATGGCACGAGCTTAGCTGCATCTTTGCAAAGGTGAGAGCAGCAATGTCTAATATCCAGGACGGCAAGAATTAGAAGGAGCTAGTGCAACATCCAACCTTGGGCAAGGGCAGCCCTGCCAACTGCAGTCTTTGGTCTTGAGGTCAAGTGAATCCCACTGCTCATACATTAGGTGATCAGCATCCTTGAAGGTGGATGTCATAGAGCAAGCTGCTAAAAGGCTGCTTGGGAAGAGAATCAGAGCTGCTGCCCAAGAGGAGCTGCAGTCTCCCCGGGCTTGGGAAGCCCCAGGAGGCAAGTAGAATGGTGAGGACCACTGTGTGGACCTTCCCACACCCTCACTTTCTGCAGAAGACGTCTACACCTTCCACCTTATGCAAAGCAGACAAGAGGATCCTCTGAACATACATCAGAAGTACCATTCATCATAGTTCACCTCTCTCAACTAGACAATACTAACAGAACCAGGAACCCAAATCTCCAAACTATGGATCACCACATTAAGTCAATGGTGACCTTCAGATCAGAGGGACATCAGTCTTGCCAGTCACCTTTCCAGATTTCAGGCAGTTCAAAAACCTGCTTCGGGAGGATGCATTGGCCCACATTCCCTAGGGGCCAGGAGAGTTCAGCAATTTGGTTATCCTTAACTGTATTTTAGTTGCAAGGGAAGCCAATTTAATTTTGTCAAGAGGAGGTTACAGGATGGATTGCCACTGAAAATATTTGCCCAGCCATGACCAGAGACACGCAGTCAAGATCCGTAGTGTGTGGGGGCGGAAGAAGCTACCCAGGCTGAGCACACACCGTTTTCTGGCTAACCACAGTGGAAACACGGGTGTCCGTGTGATGTCACTCCTATGCACTAGGAGCAGGAAGCCAGGGCACACGACTTCCGGAGCGGAGGGGGCGCTCTAGAGTTCATCCTTGGCCTGGCGTAGGACAAAGCTGTGTAAAGAACCAAGGTCTCTGCCTCCATTGTGCTCCCCAACCTTTTCACCTCCTCGGAAAAGCAGCAACGTGGGATAGCCTCGCACCTTTAAAAGAGGAAAAGGACTTTAATCAGCTAATGTGTTCCTGGAAACTAAGTGGCAGGGGAGATGGCTTAGTAAGGTGCCACAGCACCCATATAAAAAGAAAAGCAGGCCTGGGGTGCCTGTCCATCTGCAATTCCAGTGTTGGAATTGAGTCCAGGTGGACGGTGACTAACGGAGTTCACACATCACTGAGCACACAGGTAAGGCTGGGAAATCCTGTGACTAATAACCAGTGGTACAGTGTGACTGGGGTATGTATGAGGCTCTGGTTCCATGCCCATCACCACACAAGAACCAATATACACATGGCCCATAGCATCCATTATATAATAAGCTCAGAACAAACGTGTCAGTTAAACAGACTGGCTCTTTAGCCTTGTCCTTTCCCAAGAGTGGTTTAGATTTATAGATTTCTTGCAGCCCCATCCTTTAGGATGCTTGTTTATAACTGAATGCTGAGCCCTCTGGTGGTCAGGACAGGGCCATGATGGCAGCACACCTCTCTCAACACCTGGCACCCCAGTACTGTACAGCTCGACCAGCAAGGCCTTGGAGCCTTCTCTGCAGCAAAGGAGAAGGCTGGCCTTTCAGAGTATCCTTTATTCCTCCAATGACACAACTCAAGATACAAGCCACTCCCTAGAGGCCTGGACAGAGTGAACGCATTCCATGCTGCCAAGTGACAGTCCCCTGGGGCAGTGATCCAAAACTTCAGTTCCCCTTCCCAGGCGTATTTTCCCCGAGGTACCCACCGAGTACTTGGTGCAGACATTCCGCTCAGCAGTGCAGTCCACTTCTGCAATGGTGACCTCTGCCAAGCCAGGGAATTCCTTTTTAGAGAGCTCCTCCCAGGTAGGAGCCAGATTTTTACAGTGGCCACACCTAGAAGAGAACAGGGCCAGCCGAGCTGAATCTGGGTCAAGGTTATTCTGTGTGTCTCCTATATGACAGTCACAATATCCTCAGAATCCATACCATCACATGTTCCCACTGGCCACACATGGGCCCTTCCTTTCCTAAAAAGGAATTGAAAGTCACACCACACTTGATAACCTGACAGGTTTGCAAAGAAAGTTAGATTCTATGCCCACTTCCACAACACGGTGAGGGAATTGGCTGATCCATGACATCAGTGGGAGCTGCAGGGGTGGGCAGGATGGAGAGTTTAGACTGGACTGCCTGGGTGTGGGTTCCTTGATACTTCAGCCACTTCCAAGAGGCCACAACAAAGTGAGGCCCAAATCTTGCCTTTTGTGCCAACAGTCACTCTTTCTGTCCATCCCCCTACAGGAGGATCTTCTTGACTATCTGTACAGCCTTAGTTTTTCCCAATAAAGAATAATTCTAGTGGCATTATGTGGGAGCCATTTCTTTTTGGTTGTTTATTTTCATTGTAGCCCATGCTGGCCACAAACTCGGTCCTCCGGCCTTAGCCTCCCTGGTGGAGGATTTCAGGCATTAATCACCACACCAAGCTGCCTTTCTATTCAAGGGCAAAAGCTGCCCAAATCACATGTCACGTTCTCATTAACCTTACAGTCCCGAGTAGAGAGTGCACAAGCTGATAAGTGTAACACAGTGAACTGTATTTGGGTCAATCACCTAACACTCTTCCACAGACTCGGCTTGTTCAAATGACTGTTGTACTTAGGAAGACAAATTGTTGGTACAGTTTTATAGCTAAGGAAAAGAGGTTCAGGGGCATCAAAGGACATGCAGAGTTCCAGCCATTCATGGACCGATCATCTTCCAGTGCTGGGCTATCTAGGTCTCCGTTTGCTCTCCATCCACTCTTATTCTGGTCCCTGAGGACCACAAGGCAGGAAGGTTCAGGTAACTAGGTCACATACTGAATGGCTCTAAGAGAAAGCTGAGCGCTCCTGAACTTTTCAAACGCCCATCCCGATTCACTTCCATTTCTGTTTGTGTCTAAGTCGATTGAACTTTAAATAAAACTGTTACTTGACAGGGTGCGGTGGCATCATTCCTGCATGATGGCCGCACAGCTGAACAACATGCTGTGTGACAGCATGCACTTGCACAATGTCTAAGACGGCCACTTACCATGGAGCATAGAACTTGACGAAGGTTATTCCTTGTGCAATGGTGTCCTCAAAGTTCTTTTCGGTGAGTGCCAGCACAGTACCCTTCAGGGAGGAAGGTTAATTTATTTAAGACAATTATTAAAAGAGAACAGGGCAGAAAGACAATATCTGGCCAGAACCATCTACAAGTTACATGCAGGGAAGCCAGAGCTCTTGTTGGGCAGACTATCAGAGCTGCGGGGCTGGGATTGGGAGCAGTAGACTAAGACAGACCTTTCACAGCCTCTGTTCTGCCCATAACCAGCCCAGTGGCTTCAGATACAGGGACTGTCCTCCAGGTGTGGTCCAGTCCATTCTAGTCTAAAGCCTATAGCCCCCGAGCCTGCAGCCCAAGATGCCTGTGGATCTGCACGAGCTCACACGCCATTTTTCTCTATCCTGCTTATCTTCAAGCATTTCACTCTTCTAGCCAACAGGAACCTAGCAGCACGAATGTGATAGGCGATTTTAATTACATCCATACCAATGGGCTACGTTTCCTGATGTGTAAGACAAGTGTGAGATGGCGTCCAGTGCAGGCTGCAGAATTTCACACGGACCTTTTAAAGTAATTCTATCTTGACAGCTCTTTATGAGATCTCATCTGCATTTCTCTGATGGTTAACGTTCGGTAGCCCAGGGAGTGTGCTACCGTGGGGCATTCCTTGCACAGCTCAATGTCCTGTTGGAGACTCTGGGACCAAGTGGGCCACTACAAACACTGCCATCCTACTGCCCACAATAAGCAGCTATGCTCTCTAGAGGCCAGAATAGTGATGGAAAACTTAGTTATAAATAGCCATGGTGTGTGAAGGAAGCACTTGCAGTGTGTAATTACCCTGGTAGGGATGACCATCATGACACATGTTCCTCTAACATTTGTATGTAGTCACACTTCTTAAACCAAAACCTTCAGGCTATCTGTGACCAGTAAGAGCATGCTAAGGAATGGTCCCTAAGCTTGAGGGAGGCCTCTTGCTGCCTGACTAAGGGGCAAAGGCAACTGACAACACTGATTTTTCCAATTTCCATGTATTTACTGAGTTTTTGTGGTTGTTGTCCCCAGTGAGTCTCACCCTGTCTACACACAGTGGTGTTCGATGATTCACTGCCCTCAAGCCAGGGGACAAGGCATGCTCACTAGCCCTGCCATGGGCCCTAGTATCTCACTGTCAAAGAAAGAAGCAAAAATGTCCATGCAGTTGTACCTTGGTACCTATGCCAAAGTTGAGGGTTTGCTCCTGTGAAATGACTGGACAACCTGCACAGCATATACACACATCCTCCCAAATACCTTAGCGGTACTGTCGCTCAGTGTGGACCCCCTGCCCGAGTCCTGGGCTGACTGCCCACTGTTTTGTCTCTGCCCTCTCACACATAACCTGGAAACCAGCCCCAGGCAACCAAACTTACCCCCCACTTCTTACCTGTGTTGGGTATCTGCCAGCATTGGCCAGAGACTCCAGAAATCTGAATCACTTCAGACTCCTCCTTCCCTTGGGATCCTTAGGCTCCCTCCTCCTACCCCTACTATCTCACCCCTACTGTGGGGTCTCCTTGTGCTTCAGAACCCAGAACAACAGCTTTCCTTACCCTAGCAGCTAGGTCATCTTCATCAAGATGACCTGCTTGAACTTTCTAGGGCTCCATCCTCCAACTCCTATCTCTTCCTGCAACTCGGACCTGGTTCCTCTCAGTGCCTTCCTGCCTGGCCCTGGCTCATTCTCAGAATCGTATCCAGCTCACATGCGCCCCCCTCTGGCTACTTTTGAGCCATCTGTTCTGCAAACACTTGTTCATTTCTCTTCTCTCTAGGCTAGCTATCCTGCACACAAGCCTGTCACACTCCCATGACACCTGCTCATTCATTCATTCATATATATATATATATATATATATATATTCTCTCATTGTCTCCTCCAGAGACCCAGCGCCTGTCACAGGCTGGAAAGCAGTCATAAGAGGTTTTTGTTTTTTGTTTTCATGTATAATGTACCTGAAGCTTGATAAATGCAGAACTAAAATCCAAGATCCCTTGGGACTGGAAAAATGGCTCAGTGATTAAGAGGGCTTGCTGCTCTTGCAGAGGACCCAAGTTTGGTTCTCAGTACCCACAGTGGGCAGCTCACAGCTGCTTGTAATTCCAGCACTAGGGGATCAGATGCCTCTGAGTATATGCAGGTACCTGCATATACACACTCCCACCTACACACTGAATTAAAGGTAATATAAATAAACCTTAAAATCCAAGATCCTTGAATGAAAAGGGACAGAGGCTGCCAAATGAATGGAATATTCTGGGATCTGGCTACCCAATCCCCTGTATAGCCCTTCCTGCTGCAGATCTCCCAGGAGCCTTTGCTACAAGGTCAAAGTAAAATGAGATCAGCCAGTTCTGGAGTGAACAGGATAGGGCCAGGGCAGCTGAAAGGCATCACAGCAAACCCTCACATATTGTCCCCAAGTCACTAGGGCAAAATGACACACTCTGGAGGCTCCTGACACCGAGTACCTTCTCTCGGGATTTCTCACACCTACCTCAGGGCTCTCAAGGGAAACCTCTGCTGACCTTGGCCATGGAAAGCATGAAACAGTAGACACGAAATCGCACTGAGAAGACTGCAGGTAGGCAGGACCATCTCCCTTCATTCCGACAAGCACCCACCTTGTCACCTGTGGGTTCAGCAGCCAGCACTGGGGCCTCTGAGGGCTCCACAGTCTCCGGGGCCGCCTCTGGACCCTGCAGTTGCGACTCCACATAGTCTCTCAGTGACTCCAAGTCCCGCTTTCCCTTGTACTGATCCACCTGTCCAAGACACAGGCCACGTGATGCTGTCAGCATTCTCGCATGCTTCCCCGCCTCCCTTCCCCAGTTAGGCCCCCATCAGGGGTCTCTGGTGAGACCTGCCTGCTCCCGCACAAGCTATACATCATCAGAGTCTAAAGTGGGGACCAGTCATCCATCCATCCTACTTCCCTGAGGGTCCTGAGATGCGGACGTGGGCAAGGCATGGAAGGGGTGGGGAACCCCACTGAGAGCGAGCATTACCTATTCTGAGCCCTGCAAGGTCTGTGTTCATACCAGAGCAGGCATCCAAGGCCTGCACAGATGTCTATTTCCAATGAAAACCCAAGCTACCAAAAATGCCTCAGAACAGTTTCACAAACGTCAGTTTTCCTATCTACAAGGTCTTATCAGTTAGGGAAATATACATATGGTATTCCACTATACACATTCCTCCAGCTGTTGACAGCGGCCACTTCGTAACCCTGTAAACTCTCAGTAACTCAGTGCAATGGCTAGTGGAAGGATTATCCCCATACATCACACAGGGACTGAAGACATACCTTCTTGCCATCTCGAAACCAGAGCAGAGTTGGATAGCCTCGAACCTGGTTTTCTGAGCAGATCCCATAGTGCTGTGTGCAGTCAACCTGTAATCAGAGTGCAATAAGGCACCCAGTTAATTTCTTCAGGGCCTGGGAAAAGGCATTATCAGACACTTTATACTTCACTTTTTAAAAAGAAAGGTTTTATCCAGCTTCCACAGCATCCATGGCAGCACTCTGCAAGTGTTTTAGGAAGACTTTTCCTAGAAGCCACCAACAACACTACCCATGTTAATGGCACATGGTGACAAGATTTGTTTCAAAATACAGGATTCCTTTATATTCCACTGATAATGGCAGGATTAGGAAGCCTCCCCTAACACTGGGAAGGGGTGTGAGCCAGGCTCCTCTGAGGAACATGCTCTCCTGGGCAGGTCCCAATGCCATGGAAACCTGCTGTCTCTCATAGTTCTACAGTTTCAGATCAAGGCAGGGGACACAGTTCAGGACATGCATGGGTCCCTGCAATTTGATCCCTGTGCCTATACCCCCACAAGTAGGAGCAAGCATCTTTAATAAGAACACTTGGTAAGTGTAGCACTGTAACTTGGCCAAGTAAGAATTACAGTGGCTATTTCCATGCCTGTGCACATGAGGTAAGCACTCTACTGCTGAGCTACATCCCCTGCCCTTGTAAAATATTTGTATTTTGAGATGAGTCTCAGTACGTTGCCACAGCTGGCCTTGGACCTGTGGCCCTCCTGCCTCAGATTCCAGAACAGCTGGGGTTAGAAACCTGTACCATCAGGCCTGGCTCAGATTACTTCATGTAGATCAAGATCCTGCTTGCCTGATATTTTTACAAGCATTAGTTTTTAAATTTTTATCAGCATTAAAATTACTCAAGCAGAACTAAACTGGTTTTCAGTACGTTAATAAAGGGTTTAAACTATGTTAAGCTGTAAGACTGCAGAGAGAGCCGTTCAAGTGTTCAAATGAAGTCCAGGAAGCTTTAAGCTAGGTCTGTGAGGGGCACAAACACTCTCCAGGGTCCTGTCTAAAGTAGTCCCAACTGCCCAGCAATAAAGACCCGTTCTAGCCTGAGTCTGCTTATGCCTGCTTCTGCTGAGAGCCTGGATAAATCATCTACAAAAACTCACAAACTAACGTGAAGGATACAGAGATTGGGGCGAGACAGAATGCAAGGTGACGCACTCATTTCCACACACTCTTCAATGACAAATCACCAGGGCACAGGAGAAGGCACAGAAAGCAGACAGCGGGCAAAAGAAAATCCAAGCAACACATGAGGAAGATTACAATTTACCCAGCATCACCCCACCCCAGAGGCCATGCTAAGTAGCAACTTGTCATGTCCATGACTATACACAATTCACCCTATTTCCCTTCTGCAAAGGAATAACTGAGGGGAGACATCTCAAACAAGGCCAGCCCACCAGGTCTACATAAGCCCGAGGCTCTGCTTCCGACTTCATACTCAGACATACATAGCTCCAAGTCAGTATGCAGAGAAGCCGCGTGGCAAAGTGGAAAAGGGAGATTTTCTCTAGGAACTCCATAAGGGGTGAGTGTCTGGTGACTGTCAGAAAAATCAATGAGATTAAAAGCACCCAGGAGGCCAGGAGCTGCTCTGCGAAGTTCAAGAAGCCCTGGTCACACAGAAGTAATGTGTATTATTCGTAACAGAAGTTGCTACACATTACTTCTGGATTCTCTGTACGAACAGTTGGAAGGAATTGTGGACAGCAGAGCAAAGTAGGGCTCGTCATGAGGACGGGTCGGCTATGAGCTGTGTGAGTGCAGACCCCAGGACCTGTAGGGAAGCAATTGGCTGAGCTCCATGGACATCCAGTGAACATTCTACAAGGCTCTACCCTGTACCTTTGCATAGCTCTAGGGCTGCCAACTCAGAATTGGCCATCCCTTCAGAATAAAGCGGCCAAAGCCATAATTTATCTGCAGGCTGTGGAAAAGCCAGCAGACTCCAAAGCCAGGCTGCCATCTGTGAAGGTGAAATGAATTGTCAAATGGCACACTAACTGGAATTAATAAATCAAGTTTTCAACTTTGCACACAGAATGAATAATGGGCGACTTTGCTAATTAATCCAGCCCAAAGCAGACTCTTTCCAGTTTAACAAGCGTTTGCACTTACCTTGCCAATCTTGACAGTTTCGGAATGTTCAAGGCCCAGAGCCAACTGCTCCCAGGTTGGAGCCAGAGCTTTGCAGTGACCACACCATGGAGCGAAGAACTTGATAAAGTGGTCGCCTGGAGGGACGTGAGGAATGGAAAAGAAGCACTGTGGTTTACATCACAGGAGACCGGATGCTGAGCTGAAGACCACAGCTCTGCTCTCTTGTTCACAGAGCTCAACTCTTCTGGGAGAAAGGGACTTGCCACCACGTGTGTTTACATCAGAGTTCCAAACAGTAACTCAAAATCAAGCTGGTCATCTCTGAAGGGTTACAGAGAACCAACTAGCACTGAGAAAAAGGGCAAAAAGGGAGAGAACTGTACATTGACCCTGCCTCTTTCACCCCCCCTAGCACTGAAAGTGGCAAATGAGGTCAGCACCAACTAGTCTGAGGAGGGAGGGGCCGAACAGTGGCCATCGGTGAAGCTCCAATCACAATCACAGAAACAGACACACAGTCACTGGCAGTCAACGGCCTTCCAGCACCCCCAAAGCATATATGGGAAAACCAAAATAGGAACTGTGTGAATCCACCAGAGATTTATCTGATCAGCAAGGTCTGGAGTATGGGGAATTCTGCAGGTCCACAAGGCATGTGCTCAGCAGACAACACAGAAAGAAATGCTGGAGAGCATGCAGAGCCACGGACTTACACAGACACTCTCAACCTTCAATGGGGTTAAAAAAAAGCATTTAAGATCCATAAAATGCAACATAAACTTGGGAGGAAAAAAAGTAAACTGAGCCATGATAAGTCAGATGAGTAATCTAAAGTCGGGTGTTGAGTAACACACACCTGAGCTACGAGGTCACGAGGAAAAGGCAGGCATGAACCCACACAAGGGCCTTTGGAGAGAGAATGGGAGAGACCTGGATGTGGGTAGTACACAACAGGCTGTGGTTTTGACCTGGACAGTGGTCGTGGAAAAGTGTCTTTAAAAAAAAAATCACTCTGCTTTTGCTTTCTGTACTTACATTATATTTTGCCAAAAAAAAAAAAAAAAAAAACAGGGTAAAAAAACAAAAGACCCTCTTGACTAGTTTAAAAATAAAAACAAAATCAAGTTCTCACAACATTATTTTCTGGACACTGGAGATTTTTACCTGTCTGTTCTACTTTACACAGGCTGACAGCAACCCCAAATCAGGAGAGAACCAACCCCCAGTGGATGTAACGGTGTGTTGGACCTGCCACACCGATGGCTAACGCTATAGTCTCCTTGCTATGACAACAATGCATTTCAGGGAAATGGTCAATTACTTATTTGAAATTATGAGCAACTTATCTTCAAGGCTACAACCACCTCTTTGCAGACATGTGGAGTACTAACCCTGGGCAGCAGGATGGAGACAATCCCCAGAAGCCAAGCTGCTCTGATGGGAAGCCAGAAAGGCAGGAAACCCAGCTGCCTTTTGAGGCAAGAGCTTCAGTGAGCCCATGTGGGGGCTGCAGGGTGTGTCCTGTAGGAGACACTTGCACTGGGTGGAGCTTGGCTGGATTGTGGGGGACTGTCTATGACCAGGTGATTTGGATACAACACCCCATGGGGTCTGTAGGGTGTGTCCTGCAGGGGACACTGGCTCTGGGTGGGGCTTCACTGGATTGTGAGGGACTGTCTATGACAAAGTGATTTGGGTGCACATTCTCCACAGAGCCGGAGTTGGTTTGACTTCCCAGTAGGGGAAACACCGAAGTCCCAAGGCTGGAGTGCTAGTGCAGATGACATAACTCATCCTGGTAGTAATGAAGACACCATGAAAGGTATTTGGATAATACAGGCGGTAGAAGGAGGCCTGGCTCCCCGCAGGCCCTGGCTTCATGGGCAGATACAGTTCTAAGTCCTTTTCCACAGTGTGCAGGGGCCAGTCTTCCAGGGGGCTTTCTTTCCCTGGCAGCACTTGATAATGGAGCCAGCAAGGAGGCTGTGTTTGCTTTGTAGCCCACATGTGCTTGCACCAACTTCTGAAACACGTCCACGTGTTAACAAAGGGAGGCTTGTACTTTACTCACAGTGGGGACTGGAGGTATATACTTAGGAGACCAATTCCAAAAAGCGAGTATAAAGAACACCTAATTTGATTCATAGTCCTACTACACTGTTTAAACAAAAAAAATGTGCTTGCTTCTGCCTCCAGCCAGTAAACATGTGCCTACCATTAATAAAGACTTTCTTATCCACGGGGTTGTGTGTACCTAGTGTGCTCACAGCTTTAGCTTTAGCAGGCAGGTCGACAAGGGTGAAGAGGAGGCAAGATGCAAGAGTAGGCTCATTAGGCAACAGTCTATCTGTGCCGAAGAGGCAATGTGAGTTGAGCCTAGCTGTTGCTACGAGCCCTTAAGTAGCAAGAGGCAAAGCCAGCCCACAGCCATGGTCACCAGTGCCATTCTTACCTTGAGAGACATGCAGCTCAAAGTTGTTGGCTGAGAGCTCATACAACCCCTGCTTAAGCTCAGGGGCTCTGGGTGGTTCCGCTTCCGGCTCTGGTGTCTAATAAGAAGCAAAACAATTATCTGTGGGTTTGTCCTTGAGGACGCAGTTGATGCAGGGAGGTGACCTGCCCCTGTCAGAGCCATCCTCACCCATCTATCTCACACCAGTGCTGAGCAAGGCAAAACAGGAAATCACCTCCACCAAGTACTCCGGGTGCTTTAGCACCAAGCCCACCCTACAGGACTGAGGCTCTGGGGCAGCTGCCTCCATGCCAAACGCAACCAAAAAGAAACAAGGTGAAGTCTGCACAACCCCAAACCACGCCCTCTCCTTAGACCCGGTCTGAGATTCCCCATGGGATTCAAGGTAAAATTCCAATGAGTGGCTCTACACAGGTAGGAGCTAAAGACACAGGCTAACCTAGAGGCAGAATTGCAAGGGCGCAGTCCTTTAGTTCCTACCAGTGGCAGAGAGAACAAGGAAGAGACTCCAAAGAGTGACACAAAGTCAGTGATAAGAACCAGACAAGTCACAGGAAGCAGAAACACGGATGGGATGGCCTTGTGAGCTAAACCTAAGAAGGCAATTCACATGACAAGGTCTGGGACAGAAATGCATAGCCTTGCAAAGGATCTTCTGCTAGCCCTACTGTAGGTGACACATCCCAAGGTCCCTGCTTGAAATGATGGATAGAACCAAGCCCAATATCTGCTGCTCTTCCTGAGTATGCATGCCTATGACAGTTTAATTTGTAAATGAAGCACAATGGGAGATTTAATAATAGTGATGAAATGGAAATCATAACAATATGCTAAAATTAAAGCTATTTGAAACATGTGAATTGGAGAGAACCCCGAGGAACTCCGGCCTCATTCCCATCACACTGGGGAAGAGCCTCCTCCAGTCCAAGTCACTTCATCATCATAACCATGAACACGAGGCTGAGATCCAGAAGCCACAGCCCATGCCCAGAGTGACTGACACCAAGCCAGGCACCACAGGCAACAGAGGCCCAGATGACCTCACCAGGTGGCATATGCCAGTGAGGACGAGAAGTCATCCCAGTGAAGGTTTGGAGAACACAGTAAAATGGTTCACTGTAAGAAACAGACCTGTTTTCACCAACAGGAATACGCAAAGAAGAACCCAAGGAGTACCTTCACAGTGGGGGGGGGGAAGACTGCAGCTTAATGGTGAGAAAGGAGAAAGGAGATTGGGGGCAGCAAATGTTACAGGCCTTGGTGGAGTTCCAATGCAAGGCAGGAAATACACAGCAGACACAACCCTTATAGATGCTATCTGCCTTGTAGAGGTCCACACACGATGACAGAATTTCCAGAATAGTGAGAGTGTGTAGGAGGAAGTCTGATGCCGCCATTAAACATGTGACTTACTAGAGGCGCATACAGATGAGGTAATAAAAGGGCGGTTTACCACACCGCTAACCACACCCACTTTAGGCAGGACTAAAGACGTATACGGCTGGACGTAAAGACGTATACGTACGTAGGCGGAACTACGTCACTAGCCAAGCCCACTTTTGGGCATGGCTAGGGCGTTACGAGGAAGGCATAAAAGACAGCGCACAGGAAGTCTCGCTCTCTTTTCCTGGAGTTCGGCTTCCGGTCCAGTCGCTAGCTGAGATCTGCTGGGCTTCTCGGGGTTTGGTATCTTGTGAGTAATTTTCTATATAAAATACTTAGCCTTATTTTCAGTAATTGTGTGTCGCGTATCGGTACAGCGTCCGTAAAGCCAACAGTTTGGTGTCGGAGCGGGATTGGAATCGGGACCCAGGGCTTCTCTCGGCCCGACCAGGCACACGTGGACTCTCCTTTCGCTAAGTTCCTCACTACTTCGCTCGGCAAGGCACGATTCCTGCCGCCAGGAACCAGCACCTTCTACCTGCCGGTAAGGTTAGGCGGAATTCCAAGGTTTCTCTCGCGGCCACGTGCTGTTTTACTGGCGGCCAGCTGACTCCGACCACGTGCTCTTTCGCTGGCAGCCTGTTGATTTCGGCCTGAATTACTCCATTGGTAACAAACGTAACTGCTTTATACAATGTCAACAGCTAACACTATGATGCAGGATGTTAAGAATTTTCTTGTTTTTTGTATGGATGGGATTTTAGAAAGGGTTGAGGACCTACCTGAAAGGTACTTCCTACCCACGATGGTGACTATTAGCTTCATAATCAATATAATTTTGTTAATGAAATGGCTCAAAAATAGGAATAAACTTATACAGGTCATGCAGTCATCGCAGGATAGTTTTGAAATCTTAATACAAAGGATTCAGGAAATGCAAAATTCATTGCAGGAGAGTAAGAAAGGGTTGGTAGAAAATATTCAGGATATTAAAAATGATAATGTAGGTCTGACGAACAGGTTTAAAGAGACGGAACACAAAATTGAATTATTTTCAGGAAAAATGTGTTCCATAGATAGAATTGAAAAATTGGAACATAATGTGGAAACATTTAACGACAAACACGGTTCCATGTTTGATGATTTCACTAGCAAATTACAAAGACTGGAACATAAAATTGAAATGCTAGCAGAAAAGAATTGTTCCATGTCTGAGAGCAATGGTAAACTAACTGATAGAATATCATTTGTTGAAGGCAGTTTACATGCTATTGAGGTACTTGCTAAGGATGAGAATATTAGAAATTTGGAATCACATGTAAATGATGAATGTAAAAAAATGAAAGATTCCATGACATCCTTAGAAAATCATTTGTCCCAAGAACTTCAAGAGCTCAGAGAAACAATGATGAATAGACTGCAGGATTTAGAAGACGCTCAATCTGATACTTCAGAATCAGAAATACAGGCAACAGGTCAGGACAGGAGTTTCCCAAAGCTTCTCAAATGCCGGAATGATTTCCCTAAGGTTGCTATGCGTTCCCCTATGGTTTTTCCAGTATCTGTATCAGAAAAACCAGCAACGAAAAAACAATCAAATGGTCCCATTGCTTATCACTGGGAGCCTATACAGATGAAGGATCTAAAAAATATTAAGGAGGCCATTGTCATGTATGGTCTTCATTCTCCCTTTGTCAGAGAGCTCCTAACCTCATGGGCTACTGTAAATAAAGTAACCCCAAAAGACTGGGCCCAATTAGCCTCTGCAGTACTCGAAAATTCTTGCCAAATTCAATGGAGAGCTTTGTGGAGGCAAGAAGCAAAAGCAATTGAGATTCAGGAATTGCAGAACGGTCATGAAGTACCCCAAGACAAGATTCTTGGGGAGGGTCCTTACGCTGACACGCAGGTTCAATCTGCATATGACGAGCACATGTTGTCTTTGTGCCGTACAGCTGCTTTAAATGCCTTGGATAAGGTTTGTGAAACAGGAGAGATAATGCAGCCCTACACCAAGGTATTACAGGGCCCAAGGGAAAGGTTCACTGAATTTTTAGAGAGATTATCCAGAGCAGTAGAGGTACAGGTAGCGAACCCAGAATCCAGGCGTCTTCTTATAGAATCTTTGGCGTATGAGAACGCGAATCCTCAATGCAGGCAGGTAATTTGGCCATTAAAAATAAGATCAGCGCCATTGGAGGAATGGGTTCTGCATACAGCGAACCTGGAATGTAAAAGTCAGGATACAGGAGCTTGGGTAGGTGAAGCTATTTCTACAGGTTTGAGGAGGCACCAGGATGCCAAATACCCTACCTGTGATGATATAGAGGCATGGGTAGGGAAGGCAATCTCAAAGAATTTAAATAGGCGTAAAGATGCAAAATGCTTTAACTGTGGTAGAATAGGACATCTTAGTAGGAACTGTAGACAACGCATTCCTAGAAATAATGCTTTTACCAGGAATGTATCAAACAGAAGGCCTAAGCCTCCTGGTCTATGCAGGAGGTGTGGGAAGGGGCGCCATTGGACTGATGAATGCTTTTCCACAATAGACAGACAAGGTAGATCTTTACAGCAGGGAAACGGGCTTCCGGGGCTCCATGGAGCCCGAAGAGGAAGATTATCCGGTCATTCCCAGTGACAGTGGAGGACAGCCTCTCCCAGGACAATTAGAAGATCCACTGCCCATTGTAAATAATATGGCACTGGATAATACATTAGCTCCAGAGGATGAATCAATTACATCAGGAGGAGATACAAAACATATATATTGGCAAACTTCTATACAATATCATAGACCCAAACTTCCGGTTAAGGTAAATAATAGGGTGATTTACGGATTACTGGACACCGGAAGTGACGTCACTATCCTTAATCAGCAGTCCTGGCCACAAAACTGGGCTTTAAAAGAGGTTAATGTTCAATTCTTAGGGATCGGAACCCTATCTGAAGTTAAACAGAGCGTTAGATGGATTGACTTTATTGGGCCAGAAGGACAGAGAGGAAGGTTAAAGCCATACGTTGCAGATATTGCTATAAACCTCTGGGGTCGTGATCTACTCCAGCAATGGAATACGCAGATTAAAATTCCTCCTGTATCAGCTAGGAATTATAGACAAGCTCTTAGTGGTAGTAAGAATATAGTAAGACAGTACAGAAAACAGATGCCAAACGTACAGGCTGTGCAGAAGCAAGATGCTAGTGCCAAACCTACAGAGCAACCAAAAGCTCTACCATTAAAATGGCTGACAGATGAACCCGTCTGGGTGGGTCAATGGCCTATGACATCTGAGAAGTTAGAGGCTTTGGAGAAGTTAGTTCAGGAACAGCTAGATGCTGGACACATTGAGGAATCAACTAGTGCGTGGAATTCGCCTGTTTTTGTTATCAAGAAGAAGTCTGGTAAGTGGAGAATGGTTACTGATCTTAGAGCCATCAACAAGGTAATTCAGCCTATGGGGTCTCTACAACCTGGGATGCCGTTACCTTCTCTAATTCCTAAGGATTGGCCAATTATAGTTATAGACTTAAAAGATTGTTTCTTCACCATACCGTTACAAGAAAACGACAGAGAAAAGTTTGCCTTCACAGTACCTACCTATAATAATTCCCGTCCGGTACAGAGATTCCAGTGGAAGGTACTACCTCAAGGTATGTTAAACAGTCCAACTTTGTGTCAATATTTTGTGAATA